GCTATAAATTATGTTCCCTGCATATGAAAAATAGGCATGTGACAGCGCTTGGCAATCCTTGGTCTTAAAGGAGCGAGCAGAAAAAGAGCCCTGGTTTCCTTGCTATGCGGAAAATTCTGTTTTCCTCCATTTCTCTTTTCAAATATTTGTTCAATCTCATGGTAAAAGAGTATTACAGTGTCTAAGTCCTTTGGAGCTAGAAAAGGATCTTTTCTTAAAAAGCTTTACCTGGGTAGGTGCATTATATCATTTTTCCATTAAGCTTTGAAAAATACTGAGAACTGACCCCAGACGCCCATCATTAACCTGGGACCTGAGGTTAAGAACTGCTGCTTTGAGCTGTGGGTCAACATTGCCATCTGAAAGATGACTCCACTGGTCAACAATTTCCAGTATTTCCTTCCCAGTATCCCCCACTCCAACCCCACTGCCACACAAATGTCCCTGAAATTACAATATTTTATCACACTAGTGAACAATTAGCCAGCAGAGCTCATCAAACAAGGACAAGCAAGACACCAGGCCAATTTTGACAGCGCACTATGTGTTGGGGCCGCATGGAGCACTTGACTTCCATGGTCTCAGGACTAGCTCAGTAGGCGAGTATTCATGTGCACATTTTACAGATAAAGGAACCTGGGAGTTCAGAGAGGTTACATAATTTGCCTAAAGACAAATCATCGGGAAGAGATGAAGCCCGAATTCAAACCAAGTCAGTCAGGCACCGAAGTCCCTCCTGTGCAGTCTCTAAATAAAAGAAAAACTTGAAATATTGAAATGTTGACAGTGATGACACATTTCATCTGATAGACAGATGGCTGAATTTTGTATCCTTTGATGTAAACTTTTTAGAGGAAATCTGTTGTTTGTGTGTTTTAATCTTACTACCCATTTTTTTGAAAACACATGGAAAAAAGAGGGACTCCTTTAACTGAGTGGGTGTCCGATGTTTCATTCAGAAAGCAAGATAATCTGAGGACACGTGAAGCCATTTCTGCCTTTAGAGGCTCTCCAATTCTCAAGAGAATGTTCTGGGAATAAGCAGAATCTCCGCAGCCCTGGGGACACCACCACCCCTTCCGATGGGCAGCTTCAGGCAGCCAGGACCAGGGCTATTCCATAGAACCTTCGGAAAACAACATTAAGAGTCATGGCTCTCAATACTCATTAAGACCAACTAAAGATTACTTTGACGGTTTGGTAAAACAATGGAAAAGAGAAGAAAACTGCTACAGAATAAATCTGGGGGATGTTACATCTTTACACCTGCTGAGCGGGGACATCCTGATCAGAGCATTTTGCTCATGCAAACATTTAAATTTTTAAAACCACCACTCTGAGTGAGCCAGACATAATATAAATTCCTTGAAACGGGGTTCCAATAGCTCTATTCCAAGGAGGTGAAGTGGGCCTTCCTACTTTCCCCCCACCCTCCGCCCCAGACTCTGAACAAACTAACAACAACAACAAAAAAGACAATATTCTTGTCCTTAAATGACCCATGAGCCAAGAGAATAAAAGATCAACAGGGGAACATCTGCCCACCTCAGGAACTGCACACACAATGGATATTCAGATAGACACAAGGCTACAGTGGATTTTTCCCTTTCTGAGACATAATGTCAAGTGTTAACATACGTCACATATCAACACAATGTAAAAAAATCTGCCACAAAATGCAGGCCAATGGTTAAAAAATACACCCGTGTACACACACACATGCATAAAACGTATCTAAGAGGTCTGATAAGGACAGCTCTCAGTTGGAACGTTTACATTTTTACATTTTTAGAAGCTGCCTTCTAGCAGCTGAGGCAAGATACACATCTTCCCTAGAGTCATCCACCCTAACTGAGACAATGGGATACAAATTTAAAGCTCCCAGAAGCAAAGCTTTGTCTGAATTGTCCTGACAAGTAAAAATCCCGTTCTACTGTGACCTAAGAAACTTCCCAGTAGTTTTCAACTTAAAGAACATATTTTATTCCTGAAAAAAAATCACTTATTTTCCTTCAAAATAAGTTAAACCCTGATACAATTAAGATGACAGGGGAAATCTCTAATGGTTCATTTATCTTAAGCAATATTGTCTGTTAAAAACTTCTGGCACAAGAAAGGATAAGGAGTAGTTTTCTTTGGGGGGGCAGCGGGAGGGTGGAGGTAGGAAATAGTGGATTTGCCCTGTATGCTTCAATATTTGAAAATTCTGCTCTTACTCCCTTGAGGCACCGTGGAGACTTATAGATGCCTTCCTCTAGGATAGCCAGACAGACTGATTTGTTCTCCATCACAGACAAACAGCTGGCAGAGGAAATGGTGCTAAATTTGTGAGAATGGTCTAACCACTGATTCTAAACTAATCAGCTCTAATAGGAATCATAGAGTGGAGTACGAAGATATTTCTAATTTCATAGGTATCACGGTATCATTATTTCTTGTGTATTATTTTAGTTGACTTCAAAAGACTTGTTGGGGAGAGAGGACGTGAGTGTGGGTGCTGACAGAAGTTCACCTGAGCCAACAGAGAAAGGTGGGGGAGGTGCACCCCCCCAGTGAGGGGTTGAAGGCAACAGTTAGTGACACTAACAAATGGTCATTCAGAAAATGGGGGGAGGAAAGCAAATTTTGTCGCATCTGGCAGGGTGATCTGCCAAGTTGCATCTGACTGTATATTAATGCTCTAAGGTTGGGGGCGTATAGAGTACCGTATTTGCCGGCGTATAAGATGATTTTTTGGCCCTGAAAAATATGCCTCCAAGTGGGGGGTCGTCTTATACGCCAGGTACACTTCAGATAGACTGCCCATAGTGCTTGCCCCGTGCCATAGTGGCCTCCCGATGCCCGCCCACTTCATTCCACATACCGTTCAGGCTGCTTGCCTATGTTCCTGAGAAGCATCTACGGTACCAGTCTATAGAGTGTGTTTTCTTTAGTGAATTACCGGTATGTTTACCGGTAATAAACTTGCACTGTTTTATGTATATGTTTGATTACATACAGCCTTGTGACATAAGCATGTCATAAGCATTTGAATATAAATTAAAATGTTGAAATCAAATCTGATATTGTTTTACCTTTTATTTGGTGTGTGGAAGGTGTGCGGAAGAGGGGGTAGTCTTATACGGCGAGTATATAACAAACTCTGTATTTTGAGTGGAAATGTTAGGGGGTCGTCTTATACGCCGGCAAATACGGTAGATAGGAGATTCATTCACAGCTAAAGAGAAGTATCTCTCAGCGCTGCTTCTCCCCCTCTGAACCCAGAGAGATTTGATTTGTAATTCACTGGAGGAGCGGACTGGGAACTACTATCTGAGGACCTACTATGTGCCTGGCACTGCAGTCTTCTCTCACACGACGGACTCCAAGAATCACCAGGATCCCTGACGAAGGGAGGGAGGCACCTTCTGTGGCTGGTGACCCTGCTTTGCTCCTGCCACTGTAGACACCCACACTGCTTCAGACTCAGCCACAGCAAGGCTCAGAAGATCAAGGGGACCAGTCACAGCAGCCTTTTTAACTTTGGGAAAACCCAATGCTCACTTCACTCACACGTCGCAAAGTGGTGCCATGACCCTTTAGCTCCCGGCTCACCAATTCAAAGAGCTACATCACATACAGCCCTTCAGCTGCCCGTGGTATGATTCTGTGCCTAGTTCCTTTCCAGGTCCCCCCACGCGGAAGACAGCTCTAGGGAGGGAGTCTGGGCAGGATTACTATAGTATTCAGCTTCTGTCCCCCTTTTTACTATGTCTTATCATGGAATAAGGAGCACAGGTCTCAGAGATAGAGTATGTCAGTGTATGCTGGACTTGAGACCTGTATTCAAAAGCTACCTGCAGGACATCAGGTTCGCTTAATCTAGCCCAAGAATCTCCTTCAAAGATACGGAAACTGAGATTCAAAGAAAGTACAGCAGGGTCCATTTCTCAGGGAGTAGTGGAAGGCCAGGTACAGAGCAAATGCCAGCACCATGCTCCCTGCCTCACTAATCTTACTGAGCACCTAAGTAGATGGCAAGATTTCATTCTCTTAACTGTAGGTGTGACTACGTACATACACAGTCACACTTCCTCTCTGGGCATTAGTTTTCTTGCCTGTAAAATGCAGAGTGTCGCACTGGTCATTTCTAATGTGCCTTCCAGGTGTACAACTATCATAAGACTTGAAGATACAATTATGTGAAAAAAATATGCACATAGACGAACACAGACATATATCCACATGATATGCTACAATTAAATGCCATTTTCAAACACACATTGTGCCTAATTCCCCCCAGCGACCATGTCTACGCAGTCCCAAACATGGGCTAGCTACCTGCCATCAGTGCAGACCCTCAGAGCCCGGGGGTGTGATCAGTGCCCCTCTGGCTTCTCTCCAAACCCCAAGTGCAGAGAGTAAGAAGGAAGAAGGGGGGGCCATGTGCTTTACGCGAAATGTTAAGTGTCATTGGGGGAAACAGCAAGTCTGCGGCGCGGCTGGGCTGTGGGCAACAGAACGCGCCGCAGGAAGCACAGGCACCTGGGGTCCCGCTGGCGATGCACCGAGTGGGCAGCGCCCGGCCAGGGCACGGGACAAGCCTAGCTCGGGAGCAGGACCCTGCCCTCCCAGGCTGGCACATCCCGCGTTAAGCAAGTCTGAAAACGTGCCATGCAGGCAGGGCATGCGGCGGGAACTTGCCTCCAGTTTCCGATCGCACGTGGCTCAGCCTGGCTCGGGGTGAAACAGCCCCGCCCGCCCCGGCGGCCGCGGCCCCGAGTCCGGCGCTAGGACCCGGCGCGCCGCGCGCACTTCCTCCCGCCGCGGTCCGAGCTGCGGCGCTGCGCCCCCCTAAATAAAAGAAAAACTTGAAATATTGAAATGTTGACAGTGATGACACATTTCATCTGATAGACAGATGGCTGAATTTTGTATCCTTTGATGTA